GGTGCAGCTGGTCAACTATAAATAAAACAATAAAATTCCCCGCGCACAATTCCAAATCATCCCGAGACCAGAACCTTATCAAAGATGAATACTATGCTGGAAATATTCCACAGCCGACCCTTGGACTGTGGACCCTGTGCATCGCGAGCGCGCTGACTTCACAGACGCGAATGCAGCGTACAGGTATGGAATCATTCAAGTATACAGGATTTATAGAGCGCCAACAGTTTGCGCAGCGCTTTACAATATAAGGAAGACATTACAATCACAATTCAAGACATATGTTTTTCTGTAATTATATACTAAGCTTCTTCTGATGGAAAGAGATCCTCCCGCCAGTCCAGCCGCTTGCAGTCCTCAGGCCCCTATAGTAGCTGACTTTCTGTTCGGGGGGGTAAGTTGATGGCCATTTATCAATTTATCATTTCCACCGCCGAGACAGCCCCCCCCCAAGCTAAGCCTAAACTAAGATGACGTCATCAGTCTGGAAGCATTTCCTCACTTTCCCTACCCCAGTGATCTGTCTGCTGCAGGCAGGAGGAAGCATTTCCTCAGTCTCCCCTCACCCATTGATCAGTCTGCTGCAGGCAGGAGGAAGCATTTCCTCACTTTCCCTACCCCAGTGATCTGTCTGCTGCAGGCAGGAGGAAGCATTTCCCCAGCCTCCCCTCACCCAGTGATCAGTCTGCTGCAGGCAGGAGGAAGCATTTCCCCAGCCTCCCCTCACCCAGTGATCAGTCTGCTGCAGGCAGGAGGAAGCAGTTCCCCAGCCTCCCCTCACCCAGTGATCAGTCTGCTGCAGGCAGCATTTCCCCAGCCTCCCCTCACCCAGTGATCAGTCTGCTGCAGGCAGCATTTCCTCAGTCTCCCCTCACCCATTGATCAGTCTGCTGCAGGCAGGAGGAAGCATTTCCTCAAGTCTCCCCTCCTCCAGTCATCAGACTGTACAATGTAACTTTGCAGCATGTCTCCAGGTGAGAGGCTGCAGCAGGGGGCTGATCTGTGTCAGACATTTTTGAACACAGCCAAGCACTACACGGAGACATATCTTGTGCTAGGGCTACCCTAGATAATATTTATATTTGTTGGTAAATAAGTTTTACTTTGTTTTTGTGGATAAGGCCGGAAATAGATAAACATTTAGCTTTTTTTTTGTTTTGTGATCAGTCAGCTGACACAATATTTCCTTATTTCCTATCCTAGCCGGAACCGCTGTATAATCATCGCGGTGACGAGACGCTCCGCCCACTCCGATGTTGTGATTTTGGATCCATCGACATCTTTTTATCCCCCAAAAAGAAAACCTTCAAGATTTCAACATGAACAACACGTTACAGCACTGGAGGGAAGCCGCCACCCTGATCTTGGCTGCCGGGCTGCAGCATGGCAGCGTCATTCCCAAAATGGCCGCCCAGCTGTCCCGGAGCGATGAGCGCAGGAGGAGCGCGTTCGACTACGAGGTGCTGCTGCTGAAGCGAAGCCAGAAGAGCGGCTTCATGCCCAACGCTTTCGTCTTCCCCGGAGGGGTGGCCGACGTCTCCGACTTCTCCAACGACTGGGTCAAGGTCTTCGAGGGGCACGCCAACAAACCAAACTTCGGCCTGGGCGTGGTCAGGCAGCCGCCCGGCACCAGGTCCCCCATGTTTGTCATGGACAGGGTGAAGTCGGGCTCGTCCATCCCCGGAGAGGTCGCCTTCAGGATCTGCGCCATCAGGGAGACGTTCGAGGAGTCGGGGATATTGCTGGTGGTCCCGGGCGCCGCCGAAGTGGACGCTCACCGGGACCTCGCGGCCGCTTACGAAGGGGGCGGAGAGGAAGTGGCGAGGTGGAGGGAGGAGGTGCAGAACAATCCGCTGCAGTTCATTGAGATGTGCAAGGAGCTGCGCTGTGTCCCGAACATCTGGGCGCTGCACGAGTGGGGCAACTGGCTGACGCCCATGTTCGCCAAGAGTTCCCCGAGAAGGCGCTTCGACACCGCCTTCTACATCGCCTGCTTGCAGAAGAAGCCGCTCACCGCGGATGACCAAAAGGAGATGACTTCCTTTAACGTGAGTGGCGTGAAAGGGACCTGTCCTGGTCATTTAAAGGATAAGTACACAGGGCCGTAACTACGGATCACGGGGCTCCATAGCAAAAAATGCAATGGGGGGGGGGATGACTTCCCGCTGAGCTCCTCTTGTGCCTCCAAAGTCTTCTCTACACTGTAGAACAGGGCTAGCAAAACTCCGGCCCTCCAGCTGTGGTGAAACTACAAATCCCATGATGCATCTCTCTTCAGGAGTCATGTCTGTGGCTGTGAGAATCTTGCAATGCCTCATGGGATTTGTAGTTCCACCACAGCTGGAGGGCCGGAGGTTTGCTACCCCTGCTGTAGACTATACCTAGGATTAGAATTGTCCTTCATTGCAACCACTACGACTCTTAAAAGGAGAACTATGGGGTTAAGGCTTTTCCCCGTAGTTCTCCTTAGGGTAACGGGAGGACACAAACTAGCGTCCTCCCGTCACCCTAAGCTCAGTATTCAGCTGCAGCTCGCGGTATACTGAGACGCTGAAGCGGATCCCGACAATTGTGCCGGGATCCGCCCAACTGCGTGACTGACAGCTGGCTCTGCCTATCTAGAGGCAGAGCCAGCTGTACCCGCCCCCTCCCCCGTCAGTTCCGCCAGTCAGCGCTGGCGGATCGGAGGGGGGAATCCAGCCCCTCCCCTGTCACGGCAGAGAGCCGTGACAGGATCGAGAGGTGAGCGAACGCCGCTATGTGTTCGCTCACCTCCCGATCTACTGAGCCGACCTGTGACAGTCTCATTGTCACAGGTCGGCTAGAACTATGAGGTGAGTGAAAAGCACTCACCTCATAGTTCTCCTTTAATGATACACTCCTGTAGTATCTTCACATGTTCTAGGTTTAATCTGCCTCAACAACCTTAATGGGGCCCCCTTCCACCCCCAGGCCCCATAGCAGCTGCATGGGCTGCTATGGCTATATTTACGCCAATGCATAGTTACGCTATAGTTACATAGGATTAGAATTGTCCTCAACTGCCCCCGGATGACTTCCCACTGAGCTCCTCTTGTGCCTCCAAAGTCTTCTCTACACTGTAAACTATACATAGGATTAGAATTGTCCTCAACTGTAACCACTCCAGCTCTTAATGATACACTACTGTAGTGTCTTCACATGTTCTAGGTTTAATTTTCATCAACAACCTAATGGGGCCCCCTTCCACCCCAGGCCCAATAGCAGCTGCATGGGCTGCTATGGCTATAGTAACGCCAATGCATAGTTACGCTAAAGTTACATAGGATTACAATTGTCCTCAACTGTAACCACTCCAGCTCTTAATGATACACTACTGTAGTGTCTTCACATGTTATAGGTTTAATTTGCCTCAACAACCTAATGGGGCCCCCTTCCACTCCCAGGTCCCATAGCAGCTGCATGAACTGCTATGGCTATAGTTACACCAAAGCATAGTTACACTATAGTTGCATAGGATTAGATTGTCCTCAACTGCAACCATTACGACTCTTAATGATACACTACAGTATTATCTTCACATGTCCTAGGTTTAATTTGCCTCAACAACCTAATGGGGCCCCCTTCCACCCCCAGGCCCCATAGCAGTTGCATGGGCTGCTGTGGCTATAGTTACACCAATGCAAGTGCATATTAAAACAAAGAACAGTCATCCTTTAGGCCCCTTAAAGGTGATGTTACTGCTCCCTCCCCATGCAGAGATGAATACTTACTGAGTTCCCACGTGCCCGGCCTCAGTTGTTGTCCTGTAGAGGATGTCCTCTTCTCCTTGTTGTGCCAGTGCAGTACATCCCTATTGACTTGTGTGGGGCTTGTCCACCTCTGTCTCCTGGCTGGGAGATGAGACCCATAGAAGTTAGTGGGGATATACTGCAGAAGGAGACGTCCTCTACAGAATGTCCACCAACAACCGAGGCCGGGATCGTCAGAACCCGGTAAGTATTCATCTCTGCATGAGGAGGCAGGTAGTGGTGATGTCACCTTAAAGGGAGCTAAAGGATAAGTGTGCTTACTTTGCATAGCAGCTCCCCCCCCCACCCCCCCCCC